CTGGCTGGACACTGAGCTCTAGAGATGCACCTGTCTTCACCTCCACAGCACTGGGGCTGCTGGTACATCCTACCATGCCCAGCTTTTTATGTGACTGAGCTTTCTCCTCAACCCCATTCTTTGTTTTTGACCCCAAACAAAAATCCTTTCCATCCTCCCAGGAGGTAAATATGTCTGAGACCATAGGAGAAATGGCCTGACTGAAAGACCACCGGTTACCCTGCTCACTTGTCACTGAAATCACGACACCCACCCGGCCTGCTGCCCAGGCAGAAAGCACAGGCAGCTGTAGAAACATTGCAGTCTCTTGGTCTATAGGGAGAGGGCCTAGAGCTTAGAGAGGTTATCAGAGTTCAGTTCAGTTTAAAGAGTTTCAAGATTCCCATGATGGCAAAGGGGCTGCTGTCACCGAACATGATTAATTTCTTTTGAAAGGTCATTATGACACTTCAAGAAGACTAGTAATTAACTTCCCACCTGCTTCTGTCCAAGAGCAGAACAAGGCTGGCTCCTCAGGTAATTGAAATTGAATTCCTAGTTGGTCTTTAACCACCGCACAGTGACCAAGCGATTAACTGAGAGGTTGGTAGAGAGAAATCCGGGGAGGAAAACAGCCTGCTTGAGCTTGTTTAGCTGGAGGACTGGTTCCTGTGTGGCAGCAAAGGAATGAAGGAATGTCAGTGCTTGTCAAACCTTTTCTTTTGTCTTGTTTCATTTTGTTTTGTCTTGAGACAGAGCTGTGCTGGTATGTTTTTTTTTTCCTGGTAGCACAAGCCTAAACATATCTGGGAAGAGGGAATCTCAGTTGAAGAATTACCTCCATTGGATTTTCCCGTAGAGAAGTCTGTGGGGGCATTTTCTCAATTGATGGGTGATGTGGAGAATGGGTGGGCGTTCTGGGTGGTATAAGAAAGCAAGATAAGCAAACATAAGGAGAAATCCAGCAAGTAGCATTCCTCTGTGATCCATGCTTCAGTTCCTGCCTCCAGATCCAGCCTTGGCTTCCCTCAATGATGTACTATAAGCCAAATAATCCCTTTCCTCCCTAAGTCATCTTTGACCAGTGGTTTTTTTTTTATCACACAGCCACAGAAACTGAATTAGTGCAGTAACCCAGGCTGCCCTTGAATTCGAAATACCCCTGCCTTATCCTCCTAAGTATACCACTTAGCATCTTGTTGCTGGTTTTTCGTGTGTGTGTGTGTGTGTGTGTGTGTGTGTGTGTATCTTGAGTGTGGGTTTATGCATGTGAGTGCAATGCCCATGGAGACCAGAAGATCCCTGGAAGTGGAGTTATAGGAGGTTGTCAGCTGACTGGGTATGTGTACTGGGAATTGAACTTGGAGCCTCTTTGAGAGCAGTTATACAGTCTTTTTCTTTTCCTTCCTTCCTTTCCTTTCCTTTTTCTTTCTTTCCCCTGAGACTGGGTTTCTTTGTGCAGCACTGGCTGTTTGGAACTTGCTCTGTAGACCAGGCTGGCCTCAATCTCACAGAGATCCGCCTGCCTCTGCCTCCTGAGCGCTGAGATTAAAGATGTGCACCACCACTGCCCAGCACATTTATACAATCTTAATTGCTGATCCATCTTTTCAGCTCATTGTTTTTATTTTCAGTAAAATAAAAAAATTGAAACAGTTCCAATCATTCCTGCTACTTAGTCTACTCATTTGTTTCTTGTTTTTGGTTTTTTTCCTGTTGAAGCACATTTTATCTTCACATCAACCCTGCAATGTAGTTATGATTAGTTTATAGATGAATAGAGAACTCAGACCCACCAAACAAAGTGATCCAGTGCTTTGTATGGGGGAAGGTGTGGAGGCAAAGCTGTGCCTTCAGTGCATTACCATCGAAATCAGAACAGCTGGCACACACAGAGGTACATAAGATCAAGGTAGAAGAGCAAGCCATGGGGCTGATACCAGTAAGTGAAGTCTATGGGAGGAGACAGGACCTGAGCTGACCTTTGAAACATGTGTATTAGTCTCATTAAGGACATCATGAGGTTGATAAGGGCTTGTTTTTTAATTACATTTTAAAACTTAACCTTATTTGGAAATAATTGTATATCCATGTGCCCTGGTAAGTAATATAACTTATTGCTTATAGATCCCATAACTCTTCTAAAAGGACAAATTCTTGCATTGGTAACATTTAATAAAACTACAGTAAAATACCATGGATAAGATAGTAACATAAATATAATCTATCAATGTAATTCAGGTTGCCCTGGTTTTCCTCCTATTCTGTGTGTATGTGTGTTTCTATGACAATTAATGACATATAAAACATGCCTCCTACTCCACAGCCAAGCTGAACAGGCCTATCACCACCAGGACCATTCAGATCAATCTTTTAAACTATACTCCATACCCTTCTGTTGGTGGGATGTTTTGGTCACACTCTGACAATAAAGTTTACATAAAAACTTAAATAATTTATCTAAGAAAATGTTTTGAGGTCTAAAAAGATAGTTTTGGGTTGGTAATTACAAGTTAGGATAGAAAGTGAAGTAAGTACAAAACTTTGGACCAAGACAGGATAGATAATGGAATATTTCCTCTGAATTTGCCAAATGCAAATGGATTGGACATTGTGAATGGAATTCTTACCTGGTAAGTGTTCTTATTGTATATAGTTTTACTGTGTTAGAGTTAAAACCTTCCCTTTTTTAGACAAAAAGGGGGAAATGTTGTAGGATATTTTGGTCACACTCTGACACTCCCAAGACTGACACTAAAGTTTGCTTTAAATCAGAGGGTAGAGCTAGCTACTAGCTGACCAAAATTAGCCATTGAAGTTTTGTAGGACTGGGTACATAAATCAAGACACGAGAAGTTCTAAGTAGGGGTTTAGAAAGGTTCTTGACCCTTTTGGATTGAGGAAGAAGAAAGAGAGAAGATCATTGGTTGCTTCTCTGACATTTCTCTGATCAATCTTCTTCTTACCCCAATATCTGACTCCCAAGTTTTTTATTGATAAAGAATAGTTTCTCTTCTTCCCTTCTCTCACCCCAGTCCCTAACCTAATTGCAACCTACTAGTTGCTTCTTTATTTTATCACTCAGGACTGTTATAGAAATGGGTAGATGGGGATGGAGAGATGGCCCAGTGGTTCACAGCACTTGCTACTCTTGCAGAGGTCCTGGGTTCAATTCCACACGGTAGCTCACAACTATCTGTAGCTCCAGTTCCAGGGGATCTGAGCCCCTCTTCTAACTAGGCACACACAAGGTTCACAAACATACATCTCCATGTTCTAGCATGCCACGCAATGGTTGGCAAATGTATTATGACTTTCTTCTGTTCTGTGACCAGAAACACTGTGTCATCTATCTGGATGGAATATGTCATTCAGGGCAACTTGAATTCTAATTTCTGGGCCATGGTCATCCTTGTTTGACTCAGCATTAAGTGTCTTCTTTAAAGTAGTCATTACTTTTGATTGACAGTTTTGGCACCCAACATGGTACCCAGCGACGACCACTGGAATTTTCTCCATTGGCTGGGGTACCACCACAGGCCTTTTCTCCTATCATCTCAGCATCACACCTTTTTGCATGAGTACCAGATCATAAAGATGCTGAAAGGCACACATTCCCTCCAACCCAACAGGTTAGGGGTGCCAGGGGGACTCCCCACAGGGAAGTTCTGAAATAACAGACTCAATTCTTGGATGAGAAGCAACTGTATTGTGGCTCTTCTGGTAAGACATGTGTGTAGGAGAGCTCTCACGTACCAGCAACCCTGACCATGCACGTTTGGGGGTAGGAAAGATAAAGGGAAGGAGGAAGGGGCGCTCGCTCTCTTGGGGCTGCGATCGAGGTGGGAGATAAGCAGAGTCCTGATCTCAGTTCTCGGCTTCTCATGTAAGTGACATCTCTCTCTCTAATAAAGTATCATTCGACTCCCCCCCCACCCCCAAAAAAGAATACTGTTCTCTCAGAGGACCCAAGTTTTGGTTCCTGATCAAGAAGAGCACAATTACCTGTAACTCCAGTTCTAGGGGATTTGAAATCCTCTTCTGGCCCCATGGTACTGCATGCATGTACCTACATACACTTAGGCATGCATATACACATAAAATCATCTTTTTTTAACAAAATAAGGTAGAAAATTTGAATGGACATTATTCCACAAAAGATGTATGTGCTACTTCAAACTCAAAAAAGTTGACTCCATAATGGTTCTTTTTTTATAACTTTTTTTTTGAGACAGAGTTTCTCTGAGTAGTTCTGTCTTGGAACTCACTCTGTAAATCAACTTGGTCTTGAACCCAAGAGATTCATCTGCCTCTGCCTCCTGACCGGTGGGCTTAGAGGCGTGTGCCAGCATCACCACTTAATATTCTTTTATAATTCTACTGACCATCAGTGCAATAAGAATTAGACAAAATTAACCACTGAATATATTTTTGCATTGACCCACTTAGAAGAAGTAACTTTTTGTTTTGGGGATGGGGCTCTCTAACCTCCTTGCCCTCCTTTTCTGTTAAAACTGTATCAAATCATTTTACTATATAGTTTTATTTCATGTGTAACTATATTGCTATACATAAAGTATGGCTTAATTTTTTAAAAGAGCTCTTATAGTTAAGGAAAAGATGTGTAAATAGCTACTGGACTCAACAGCATCAGCCCTCAAAGGAAGTGCAAAGCAGAACCACAGTGAGATCCAGTTCCTATCTGCTGGGGTGACTGTCAACAGAAAGCCAGTGTTGGCTGCTACATGGAGGAATTGAAACTGCCACGCAATGCTGATGGGCAGGAGAAATGCCGCCCTTTGGAGCACAATTAAATAAGTTATGAAATGACTCTGCAACTCCAACTTCCAGCTATAATTTCTAAGAGAAGTAAAAACCTGCATTTAGACAAGAAATTGTGAGTATAGCAGCTTCATGTGCAATGGTTGAAATTAGAATAGCTCAGTCCACTGGTAAGTGCATAAGTGAATTGTGCTTTAGACATACATGCAATACTACTGCTTGTTGAAAAGCAGCAAGCTGTGCTCACTTTGGCAGCACATTTACTAAAGTTGGAATAATACAGAGAAGATTAGCATGGCCCCTGGGCAAGTATTTCACTCAAATTCATGAAATGATCCATAGGTTTTTGAAAAGTGTGCTGATATATATCACACAGACACCCAACATGGCCTGAAGCAGATACCCATGCACCTATATTGGCAAAACACCAACATTTTGGAAAGAACATTGATTGCATACTAGTTCATTCATTTGCAGTGTATCTTCGCTCCTTTTCCTCAAGTTTGGAATCGGATCTGCTAAATTGGGGTTTAGCTGCTTGCATGCTACTCTGGGCCCTCAAACAAATCCATGTGAATGCAGTCCTTCCCCCTGTGTGAAGGAGCAGTCACACCCCTGTAACAGAATAGGAAGGAATATCTAGAACAATTTCAAGTTTTATCTTTTTGTATATGAACATAAATAAATAATAAAGAAGAGTGAGCTGCAGCATGCACTGATGCCAGAATAATTACACTGGGTAAATTTAAAAAGGACATATCTGACCCAGACTTCACAGGTGGAAATTCTTTTTTTCCCCACAGCCTCCTCCTTCCTTGTGCTGGAATTCTAGGCATGTGCCACCACACCTAGTTTATGTGGTGCGTGGGATGGAACCTAGCACACTAGGCAAGCACTCTACCAACTGATCTCCCACATCCACAAATAGTCTTTCAAAAAGAGAAGTCTGTAATATTAGCACCTGTAATCACACCACATTTCAGTTCCTCTGTGTTCCCAGTCCTCATGTGTGTTTGTGCGTTTGTCACTGCATGTTGGGGTATGCAGCCTTTTCTGCTTGCAACTCCTAAATTATCCTTCATCAGGATTTTATTTTGTTATAAGATTTTACGTTAAAGATTAAAATGCAGACAGGAAAATCACACATCCCTTAAATGCACAGCTCCACGAACCTCAAAGTGAATGCGCATAAGAAGAGCTTGCTTTGAAAGCAAGGATTCATTTCTCAGGGGTCACAGGTTGGATTGATGCGTGTGACACAGGCAGACCCAGCTGGGCATGAGTTAAAGCACCAAGGCAGACTCTTCTGTAACTGCCAAGTGCAGAGACAGAGTTAAGTGCCATAGGATGTGGGCAGAGGTGATGGAATGGGAGAAGAGAGAGGGGGTGGGCTGAGTCAGGAGTGTGGAAAATCATTAGAAGTGGAAGACTTTTGCCCCATGTGAATTCCATCCAGTTTGCTAACTGGCACTTATGCCCCCATCCGCCAAGACTAGGAGACAGGGATTCTATCTTCAGGTGGTGTCTGGAACAAACGGTAACCTTTCTCTGGAAACTGAATTTTTTCAGCCAGGTATTTTGAAGAAAAATAGGGCCAATCCAGCAATTCAGCCTTGAGCTGTGAGAAAACATGTTTGAGGGCCAAGGCTGAGGCCTAGTAACAAAGACTAAGAAGAGCTTGACTAGAGTTTGGTCAATGACAGAGCCTTTGTTGGCACAAGTAACCCACAGACTGTAAAACTTTCAGAATTGCTCCTGAAGCAGGTAGAGGTCAAAGGACAACTTGTAGAAGTAAATTCTCTCCTTTGACCATGTTGGTCTGGAGGTTGTGGTTGCCATATTGTTTAGCCTTGGTGGCAGGCATCTCCATCCTCTGAACCGTTTATTTCACCAGTCCTCCAATGTAAGTCTTAACACACAACATAGACTCGCTTGCTTGGTCATTTTGCAAGTTCTCAGGGGAGCTGAACAAGAAGACTGGCTGGATCCTGGTTCTTCCATTTAGCATTATTTTTCTGACTTGCAAGGGAGACTGATAAACCTTGATTAAACCTCTCCACTGATGCAGCAATCCAAATCAGACCAAATCAAACGGAATTAAATAAAGTCCATGTTTAATGGATATAGTGCGGCCGGATGGCCTTCCAGTCCCCCAGAGAGGAGTTGGGAAAGAACAGGAGGCAGTTTAAATACCCAGTGGGAGTGGTCTTGAGCACCTCTGGGGGGGAGGGGCATCATTTGGCGGGCTTTCTGAGATGTAGCAGGATTTGGAGGGAGATAGGGGAGGAGGGCTTGGGTGGAACTTTAACCATAACAGAGATGATGTCTGCTGTTAAATCAAGAATGAGTAGAAGTCACCCAGTGCACATTAACAGTCTAAGGATGGTGAGGTCTCACCAAAGGTATGAATAGCCCAGTGCTGCTTAAGGTCCCCTCCTGACTTAAATTCTATTATCCAGATCCCTAAAAGGATCCGTTCAAGTTAAAAGTCAAAATCTGAAAATGGAAATCTTCAGAGAATTAAACAGCAGCAGCAATTCTATAAAAAGTGCATTTATGGGGGGGCAGGGTCTCATGTATCCCAGGCTAGCCTTAAATTCACTATGTGTCTAAGAATAGCCTGGAACTTCTGATCTACCCACTCCCACTTCCCCAGTGCTAGCCTTGCAGGCTTGTGCCACCACACCCAGCTTATGTGATGCTGGACATCAAGCTTGGGTCTTCATGCATGCTACACCAGCATGCTGCCACCTGAGCTATACCCCAGTCCTTAAAAGTACATTCTAAAACTCATTCATACAGAGTTTTCTTTGTGCATGTGTATATACCTGTTTGTGTGTACATGCATGCATGTATGCATATATACATGGGGAGGCTGGAGGACAACCTCAGGTGACATCCTCAGCAACAACATCCACCTCCTTTGAAACAGCTTCTCTCATTGGCCTGCAGCAGGTCACCCAAGATAGGCTGTCCAAGGAGCCCCAGGGATCCTCCTGTCTCTGTTTTTCTTGAACTGGAATGTAATTGGGGGTTGCTGAGGTTGGAGAGATAAGTCAGCAGCTAAGAGCACTGGCTACTCTTCCAGAGGACCTGGTTTCAATTCCCATTACCCACATGATGGCTCACAACTGTCTGTAACTCTAGTTGCAGGAGATCTGATATCCTTGTTTGGCCTTTGAAGGCACTGCACACATGTAGTGAATAGCCATACATATAGGGAAAACATTCGTCCACATAAAATAAGTAAATCTTAACAAAATAATAATCTCAGTGTCACACAAAGACACACAAAGCAAAAAGTATCTTGGCTAGGCATTTCACTTTGCGAAAACGGTGTGCCTGAACCCAAGCTGGCTAGGAACACACCAGGGCCAACATGGATCCTGTCTTTTATCCCTGACATAGGTGATAACTGCATCTAATCCACACAAAGGGGGAGGGGAGGGTTTAGGAAACATGAGTCCTTGTTTGATTAATTTCCTTTGACAAACAAAACAAAACAAAACTCATTTCTCACACTAGCATACACTATCCAGCCAAGCTTATGTGAGTGCTAGGAACTGAACTTAGGTCTTCCAGCTGTGCCAAGCTATCTCCCACGACCCTCACACAGACTTTTCAATAATATTGTTGAAGTTTACCATGTGCCAGTCACTGAAACTAATCCTTAGCTGGGAAGGAACTCACAAATCATTGCCAGACAGATCTCAAAGTCAAAGCCAAAAAGTTAAGAGAAACCGTAACCGGGGCGGGGCCGAGGGCGAATGGGGCATGATATCCCACGTGAGAGGGAAAGGGGGGCGTTGTTTTGTTTTTAACTACATAGATGGGAAAGAGACATGCATTAGGACTTTACTATTTAGACTACCCCAGAAGCTGGTAAGTGCTGCAGGGAACAGGCCTGGGCATGGAATGGCAGCCGAGCCATCCCAGTGGACCCAGGTCGTGTTATACTTGCTGCAGCTGCCTCCATTGGCACTACAGGGAAACCACAGGTCTTAGCTAACACACTTCCCAGCTTCCCAAAGCCCATGCCTCTGCTAGGAGATGCCTACTTCAAATATCTCAGCGATGCCCAGAGGTTAGTATTATTAAGGTGTGCATCCGGTGGCAAGAAGGTATTGATGGGATTTTGGACAGGAAACTTGTCTAAGGATGTCACATGTGTTTAAGAAAGAAGGGAGAGTGGGAAGGAGGAGAGAAAAAGGAAAGGAAAGAGAGGCTAGAGGGAGAGAGAAGATAAAGTGGGAAGGAAGAAGAGAGAGAAGGAAATAACTAAAGTAAGTGAAGGCAATAAAGAAAAGAAAGGATAGAGGGAGGAAAGAAGGGAGAGCGAAAGCAGACAAAGAGAATAGAGGAGGGGAGAGATGAAGGAAGGAAAGAGTAGGGAGGAGAGAGAGAAGATCAAAGAAGGGACAAAGACATGAAAGGGAGGCGGCGAGAAGAAAGCGATAAAGGGAGGGGAGGAACCAGTGAGGATTAGTAGCCAGAAGGCCTAAAGAAGGCCAGGACTAGACGCTCGATACGCTCGTCGCTCACACGTAGGGACTCAACTGCACCGGACTGCAAGGCCCCGCCCCCTCCCCGCCTCTCGTCCTGCCAGCCGCAGGCCGGGCCTGCGCGAGCATTGAGGCAGTGGGCTCAGCGGCGGCGACATGTACCGGCTCCTGTCAAGTGTGACAGCTCGGGCTGCGGCCACCACGGGCCCGTCCTGGAGCAGAGGACGGCGCGGGGCGCACGGGCGACCGGGCCTGCCTGTGACGAGCCTTGGCTGGGCTGGGGGCCTGGGGCTCGGGCTGGGGCTGGCTCTCGGGGCGAAGCTGGCGGTGGGCCTGCGGGGCGCCGTCCCCACTCAGTCCCCCGCGGACCCCGAGGCTGCAAGTGCCGAGCAGCCGCAGGAGCAGACCCTGGGCCCCGGGAGCCCGCACACGCCTGCGCCGCCCGCAGCCAGGGGCTTCTCCAGAGCCATCGAGAGCAGCCGCGATTTGCTGCATCGGATCAAGGTGCGGGCCCAGCGGACGCCAGGGCGGCAGCTTCCGAGAAAGACTTCCCGTTTCCCGACCGCCGGGCCGCGGGTTGACGCTCTCGGGGTTGCTCGAGTCGCAGCTGAGGTCACCGACCGCGGAAGGGACCGCCCCTTCCCCTTTAAAGAGCGAGCCCTGGTTACCCCTCGCGGGCCATCGCTAGCTGAGCGAAACCCCTGCTCCGGTGGGCGGGGCCGGAGAGTGGGCGGGGTCTGAGAGGGCGGGGTCAGTAGGCCCAGCCTGAGAGCGCTTCCCTGTGTATAGAAACATTGCACTTTTGATACACCTAGATCTTTATTCTTTTCTCTTAGGATGAGGT